ATACCACTTCAGGATGGGTTCCTCACTCAGAACTTCAGCTGCAAGATGTGCAAGAGCAGCGGTAACACAGCAAACGACTGAATACCAGCTACCGAGAACCCCTGACGGGAAGCCTTTGCTTCCTCCCCTCAGAGCACCACAATACATACTCCTTCCCTGGGTATGGCTGGACATACCTGCGCTAGGAGTGCCTCCTGTTTTAAAATTCTGAGAACCATGCATTGCTGACTGGGGGCTTCCCCAGCACTGCATCTAGGAGTTGCAGCTTCACTCCCACTAACAGTCTTAAGTGTTTCATAGCTATTTGAGATGACACACTCTAAGGAAGGCTTCAGTCAACTGCTAAGAACAGATGCACACCACCAGAAGTGTTTAACTGTTTTTTAAATTTTACAAGTACAACATAATCTTCACTTGTTATAACAACAAGTTTCCTTATGTTCCTGTGGTATTTCCACAGGTGCACAGCATGTTTTTCAGTAACACCTCTTAACAGCCATTTAACAAGAGCCTACAGCACCCCAGAACACCTCAGTGGTCTCAATCTCTGGCCATTCAGTCAGTGTTCAGACAGAGAACTAAGAAGAATACACTATCATGTATCTCTCCCTAACTTAAAAGGGCCAAAGAGCCTTAATATCTAACTTTAATATCTAACTTTGATCTACCGCAACTCTTAAAATGTAGTAGACAGGCAGTACTCTAGAGGAGTACTTCCCCATGTGCCAGGACAGCCACATCCACCATTGCATTTTACTGCTCCATCTTTGCAAACAGAATGTAGAAAACTCTCCAGCTTATGAAGTGCAAAGTTGTAGCACTGATCTTCTCTAAAGGTCTTATCATGACTGAAGCATTCTGCAAATACAGGCTTTAAAAAACCCAAACAAACAAAAAATGACACCACCACCCCCCACCACCCCTCCCCAAAAACGACAACCCCACAGAAAGTACCTTTATAGAAGAGCACCACTATTTTCTGGAAGGCCTTCATGAAGTGAATGTTGTCATAACAATACTCCTGAATCTTCAACAGAAGAGTCAGCTCTGACTGACCTTGGGTAGTAAAGGCAGCAAGTAGAGGGCTGTATTGCTGTAACAGGAACAACAAATTGGCACACACAGAGCACTTCACATTTATCGCCTGACTAGACTGGTCACGCAGTTTCCATCAGCCACTGCTTAGAAATTTGCAACCCCTGCCCCACCCCAGAGCGCTTCTGCAGAAGCCATGCTGCTTTTGCCTCCATAACTTGGACTATACTACCACGGTTACAAGGGGAAAATGCCCTGTCTAATGCTGTCACTGCATTAGGGAGGTTGTAGGCTTTAACTCATTTAAAAGGAAGCTGGAGACAGAGGGAAGCCCAAGCCCTACCCAACGGGTGCAAAAGTCCGTATTTAAGGTACAATACCTTCAAGTGCTTAATGGCTTGCTCTGCTACCAGCTCCTCCTTTTTGTTCCACTCCACCGTGCTCATTACGCTTGACCAGATTATGGCTACCACAGTCTGTTCTGAGATGTTGTTTTTCTTCATCTCCTCCTTCACATACAAGATTATCTGCCAGTTAGAATGTAAGAGTCAGCACACAGGCCACATATGACACTAAGCTAAATTAAAACTTAGCAACCTAGAAGCCTTCAGAACCACAACCCCCTTGGATCATGCAGCAGGATTCAGGACACTAAGGAAAGACTATGAAGCTAATACCGAAACACCCTGGTCCTAATTTTAATTCTTAGTGAGAGCTAGGCATTTAAGTTCAGTATTTAATTATGCATATATCTTCAGATTAGTATTAGATGCTGTTGTATTTCAGATAATTTGAGCTAAATTCCTACAGAAAAAAAAAAGAAAGAAAAAAAACCACACAAGCACCTACACCTTGTCTACAGACGAATACTTACATCCTTGAACGGATCTCCCCGAGACATCTGCTCCTGAAGTTCTTTCTGCAGCTCTTTCCGAGCTCCTATGCTTTGCTGGTTCCGAACATACTCAGAAAGTTCTTTTAGTCCTGCTTCAGTGAAGTACTTGGAGAAGTGTTCAACACTTTGTTTGTTGGCTGGGAAGAGTTCCTGAAAACAAAGTTTACAACAACTGTTTCACAAAAGAAATGTGTGTTAAGTACTTTGCTGGTAAATGCTATTTCTAAACTGGCTTAAGTAATAAATCGATAATTTCAGTGGTACTCACCATCAGCCTGTTATCCATGTTTACTTTACGAAGGCTGACAGCCACTGCATTAATATCTTTCTCATTTATCCATGATTTGAACAGCTTGACTGCAAAAGCTGCAGAAACACCTGTGCAACAGGAATAGTAATATTATTACTGAAATTCAAAACAAAGGGGAATCGTAAGGCCTGAGAGTACAGGGCACCTAGTTTGTCAGACCCCAGCTCAAAGCAGCAGCAGCTGTGCTCAGAGGCAGCCCTAGCTCTGCCTGACAATACTGCAGCCTCCGGCATTTTCTCAGCACTCAGCATCATGAAGGCTTCCCTGTACTAAACTCGACTCTCCTTGCTGCAATTTAGGAAGGACCCTAAAGACATGACACACCTTCTGCATCCTGAAAGGTCCCTCTCCAAAACACAGTACTGCCTTGCTTGGCAACACTAGTGACAGCAGCCTCCACTGTCATGCCGGGAAGTCCTACACACAAGCTTTCTGAAAAGACTAGTTTTCTAAACTCTTAGCGAGACCTTCCAGGTTGCATGCAGCATGTTTACCTTTGCTAATCCTGTGGTAAGTCTATCACTAGGTGAAACTAGTAAGCTGCAAGGGTTTACTGTCATCACAATTCCCACCTACTTATCATGGTTCTGTCCCCCACCATCCTTCCCTAAAGGAGGAGTTGGGCAACGCTTACCTTCTTTAACCAAGTTCTCATTGTAAAGACTGTTGAGAATTGATGCATTAAGTGTCCCGTTGGCTAGCAGAATACCAGTCAACATGGCCAGTTTGTTCCGCTCAGACTCCGAGAACCCTTTCAGGAACAGCAGCAACTGCAAGAGGAAGTAAGAAGAGTTGCCATAAAACTACCATCTCTCGCTGAAGTTTTGCTCCTGCCTCCATGCTAGACACTTGTTTCAGTCAAGCTATTCAACTAGCAGAAGCACTAGTTCATTGGTTGTCTTCTCCACCAGTCATACAAGCTAGCT